GTGCACCTGGGAAAGCAGCAGAAAATGGCCTAAGTGCTTGGGCCCCTGCCACCCTTATGGGAGACCTAGATGGAGTTCTGGGCTCCTGGCTTCTGGCTGGCCAAGCCCAGCCATTGACAGCATTTGGGGAGTGGACCAGGGATGGAGGGTCTCTCTGTCTCTCCTTCTCTTCCCCCACCTCCCACCGTCAGTCTGCTTTTCTAATAAATACATCTTTTTTAAAAAGTAAAGAGTAACATCAGAGATTTTATAATATTCCCCGGATGCTAAGGTTAGCCAGACCTGCTTCCACACCTCATTTTGTCACCCCTGGCTAGAGAGTCTTGGAGTAGTTGTCTTCACCTCTTGTGCCTCAGTCTCTCCATCTGTGATATGGGGATAATGACACCAAGCTCTGCCTGTTGGGAGGACTAGCTATAATAATGCATGTGAGGATCATAGGACAGCACAATTACTAGATCTTGTGGATATTGTTACCATTAAAAAGGCATTACAATGGTCAAAATGCATTTTTTTTTAATTTGACAGGTAGAGTTATAGACAGAGAGACACAGAGAGAAAGGTCTTCCCTCCATTGGTTCACTCCCCAAATGGCCGCTACGGCCAGCGCACTGCACCGATCCGAAGCCAGGGGCCAGGTGCTTCTTCCTGGTCTCCCATGCGGGTGCAGGGGCCCAAGCACTTGGGCCATCCTCCACTGCCCTCCCGGGCCACAGCAGAGAGCTGGACTGGAAAAGGAGCAACCGGGACTAGAACCCATCGCCCATATGGGATGCCGCCACTGCAAGTGGAAGATTAACCAAGTGAGCCACTGCGCTGGCCCCCAAAATGAGTTTCTAAAAATGCATCTCACAGGCCGGCGCCGCGGCTCACTTGGCTAATCCTCCACCTGCAGCACTGGCACCCCGGGTTCTAGTCCCGATTGGGGTGCCGGATCCTGTCCCGGTTGCTTCTCTCTTCCAGTCCAGCTCTATGCTGTGGCCCTGGAAGGCAGTGGAGAATGGCCCAGGTGCTTGGGCCCTGCACCTGCATGGGAGACCAGGAGGAAGCACCTGACTCCTATCTTCGGATCAGCGTAGCGCGCTGGCCATAGCGGCCTTTGGGGGGTGAACCAACAGAAAGGAAGACCTTTCTCTCTGTCTCTCTCTCTCTCTCACTGTCTGACTCTGCCTGTCAAACAAAAAAAAAATGCATCTCACAGATAAAGCTTTTTAAAATATTTTTTACTTCATTTTTTCATTTATTTAAAAAGTAGAGAGATAGACACACAAAAACATAATATACACTAGAAAGGAGGGAGGGAGGAAGGCAGGCAGGCAGGTAGGCCGGCCAGCCCGTAAACCTACGCAGGGCAGGGTCTCCCACACAGATGGCCAGGATTCAAGTACTTGAGCCATCACCTGCTGCCTCCCAGCGTGTGCATCAGTAGGAAGCTGGAATTGGAAGCAGAGCAGGGACTTGAACCCAGGCACTTAGATATCGGTTGCAAGTATCCCCAGCAGTGTCTTCACATCTGCACCCAACACTTGTCCCTGGATGAAGTTTTAACATCTTTTGTCTTTTGCTATGAAAAGTTAAATATATACAAACACAGACAGTTCAATGGGCTTCCGTGTGAGCAATTCCCATTTCAACAGTTGTCATCTTGTGGCCAGTCACCCCTTCCCTAACCCCAGCTTTTATTTCAAAACACATCCCAGACAGTATGCTACTTCACCTATGGTACTCCAATACGCATCTCTAAAAACATAAAAATCGTGACCCAAATCCCATGTCACACCTAAAAACAAAAATTATGCCAGGCCGGCGCCATGACTCACTTGGTTAATTATCCGCCTGCGGCGCCAGCATCCCATATGGGCGTTAGGTTCTAGTCCCGGGCTCTCTGCTGTGGCCCGGGAAGGCAGTGAAGGATGGCCTAAGTGCTTGGGCACCTGCATCCGCATGGGAGACCAGGAGGAAGCACCTGGCTCCTGTCTTCGGATTGGTGCAGCACTCCAGCCATGGCAGCCATTTGGGGGGTGAACCAATGGAAGGAAGACCTTTCTCTCTGTCTCTCTCTCACTGTCTAACTCTACCTGTCAAATAAAAAAAATATCTTGCTTAGATAAATTTTTGGTTGGCTGGAAGTCACAAGGAGGAAGGAAAAAGAATCCTATCTGCCTGAGGTCAAGTGTTCAGCAGACCCAATCATTGGAGGCATCCACTGTCAGGGTCAAGGTCCCTGCTGAGAGGAGGGAGCTGGGGGAAGGAGGGCAGGGAACCGAAGGCAGAGAATGAGTCTGGAGCCTGCATTTCATGACTACTGCAAGACAGAGACTTCATTAACTATGATTTTCTTTCTTCTCAAACCAAATGGCATTTCATTTGACACCATTATGTACAAATTCTTCCTCTTCCAAATTGGTGGGAAAATAAAAATCTATTTTATCTTTTCATCTACCCTGAGGCATTGTTGGCAGTGCTGGCTTTCACACAGGATGTGATATTACACAATTAAGGAGCACATTGCATGGTGACAGGCCCAGTTTGCTTTCTGAAATTTAACACAACACAAAAGCTCACATCTTTGGAAAGTTCAGTCCTTAACTGTCATATAGTCTTCCCCTTTCTCCCTAATTTCTCCTTATTTGTTCTACAGTGTCAGTAGAAACTTCAATTTTATTTTCTGATGTTCTATATATAAAACCTTGAATTAGAATATTTTCTTTCTTTTCTTTTTTTCTACCTGGAACTTGATGCAATTAGCTCACTTCAAGACAAGATCTACTGGTGTTGAAGATCATGCAAACCAGCAGTTCCACACCAGATTATCACCCCCCATTTATGCAAAGCCTAGAGTTCAGGGGGCAACATCAGCAAGTAAGTGAAAGAGGAGGCCAAGAAGTCTAGAAGGGATGGAATACCAGGAAAGTGAAATGCTGCACGTTTCTTCTTTAAAAGCTTGAGTTTCCTTAGAAGCAAGGAAAACTTCATGTGGTGGAGATAAGGAGGCTGGATTCTGAAGTTTGATGCAGCAGGTAGGCACTGGAAGCTCTGGTGATCTCTTCATGACCCTCTCCATGTGGCTCTGGCTCCAAAAAGCACGTCACACAGCTGTCCTCACAGAACTGCGGAATTGGCTATGTGATGTCGGTGGTGGCCTGGCCTTCTGGCTTCCAGTCTCTGCCCCAAGGCACTTGGACCACAAACGAGGTTTTCCCTGCATGGCCTCAGCTCCACTCAAGGCCTCTGAATCTCAGGCAACCAAGTATCTAGAATCATTGTCTACAGATGCTGGGACATGGAGTTGGAGATGCAGGAGTGTGGCTTCTGCCCTTGAGAGAACAACTTCCCCTCTGCTTGCTTCTCTGCACAGGAGGTCGTCCCTCGTGCTGTCTTGCAGACTCGGCCTCCTCCACATCGGCAGCACTTAGCTCTTCTGCATGCCCCCTGCCAGCTACATGTCTGGTCTTGGCTAATCATTGTGGTTAGGAGCAGGCAGCAAAGTGGTTTGGCAAGCAAGCTTTTGAAAATGTTTGTCTCTTATTTAAGAAGCAGAAGATAAGGATGGGCATTTAGCCTAGCAGTTACAATGTCAGTTAAGATACCAGCGTCTCCTATCAGAGGGCCTGGGTTCGAGTCCAGGCTCCACTCCCAATTCCAGCTTTCTACTGACGTGCACCCTGGGAGGCAGAACACGGCGGCTTAAGTAGTTGGGCCCTTTCCATTCATGGGAGACCTGAGTACAGCTCCAGGGTCCCAGAGTTAGTCCCAGTCTGCCCCCAGCCCAATCCCTGCTATCATACGTGTTTGGGGGAGTGAACCAGCAGATGGGAACTTTTGCCTGTCTCCCCCTATCCGCCCGCGCCCCTCTCTCTGTAGGTAGATAGATATATAGAGATAGATAGATATATATAACTATAAATAAATAAATATTTTTAAAGAAAAAAGATGGACCAGCATTGTGGCAAAGTGTGTTAGGCTGCCACTGCAATGCTATCATCCCATATGGTCACCAGTTTGTGTCCCAGCTGCTCCACTTCCAATCCATCTCCCTGCTAATGGCCTCAGGAAAGCAGTGGAAGATGGCCCAAGTGCTTGGGCCCCTGCCACCCACATAGGGGACCTGGATGATGAACCTGACTCCTGGCTTTGGCCTGGCATAGTGCTGGCTGTTATGGCCATCTGGGGAGTGAACCAGTGGATAGAAGATACCTCTCTCTATTTCTTTCTCTCTCTTCCTCTCTGTAACTCTGACTTTAAAATAAATAAATACATGTTTAAAAAGAAGAAGAAGAAGAGACAGATAAGGAGATAAATAGAAGTTACAGTGCTGCCATAGCACTTTCTTCTCCACCTTTAGAAGTAAGCTTTGGGAAGGCAAGAGAAAAATCTTGTCTTACTTGCTGCTAAGTCTTTGCAACTGAGAGCAATACCTCATTCATGGTAGGGAAGCAAATATTTGTTAAATGTTATTGGATGGATGAATGGATGGACAGGTGGACAGGTATGGTCAAGAACTATCACTCTTCCTTACTTAAGGGATTATTCTTCTAAGAACTTGAAAGAGACTACACAAAAAGAAAGAGACCAGAACGCACTTCCTCTTTTGACCCCACAGTCTCTTTTTTAATAACAACAAAAAGTATTTTTTTTACTTTCTCATGCTTTAAAGTATAAATTGATTGTCCCTAAAAACATGTGGCTAAAAACAATTTGGTAAGAAAAATGATATAATAAAGCATAGGCCAAGAAGAGATGCAATTTCCAATGGAAACAGAAAAAAGATCTCACACAGTCTCAAATGATTATCTCCCACATTCCTCCTTGTAAGCCATCATTTCATTTGATAGGCTCAAAACTCTTTGCATTGCTGGAAACAGGGGGTAGGAATGAAAAGGAAGAGGCATTAGGTGGAGCCCAATACCACCACGAGCCAGGTGGCCAGGGCAGAGCTAGAGGATATCAGGGGATACGAGACAAACCAGGAAGGTTCTCTGGAGAGCTATCAAAAAGGGTGGAAAAGGAAGACTCAAGAGGCCTCACCTGCTTTGAGCCACTGCCAGGTGTCCTAAATCTGGGGCTGCAAGCACGTCACTCAAATTACCCTGTCTTAGTCACTGGCAGCCTCTCTGCCTGCTGGGCCAAATACCCTCAGGGCCTCCTGAGTTGTTTCATTCACTCACCTGCATACAACTTGCACAATCTGCCCAGCCTTGGTCTTCTGCTTCTCCACAGCTAACACAGCCCTAGAAAAAGCAAGCTTCTTTATAAAAGTGACTTACAGCAAACACTTTTGGAAGTGATTCTTACACTTTTATAGTACTCCTAAAATAATATGATAGACCTTCAAAATTCACGTATATTATTTTTTTTAAAAATACATGGATTCTTCTCTTGTTTTGTTTTGTTTTTGTTTTTGTTTTTGTTTTCAGAAAGGCAGAGTGACAGAGAGCAAGAGTGAGAAAGAGATCTTCTGTCCTCTGGTTCACTCCCCAAATGGCTGCAATGGCCAGGTCTGGGCCAGACCAAAGCCAGGAGCCTAAAATGCCATCTGAGTCTCCCATGTGGATGGCAGGGGCCCAAGCATTTGGACCATCTCTGCTGTTTTCCCAGGTGCATTAGTAGGAGCTGGATCAGAAACAGAGCAACTGGGACTTGAACTGGCATTCCAGGAATGGGATGTTGGCACCACAGTGACATAGGGAGTGGCTTACCTGCTGTGCCACAACAGTGGTCTCTTAGATTTTTTTTTATTTCAAAAAAAAAAAAAAAAAAGCTTTGCACCTGAATGAACATCTTTAATTCCATTTTCCATGAACATTTTGAAGTTCCTTCTTAGTATGAAGTAACAAATTTGCTTCAAGGAACCACTTAACCAAAGGTGAAGAACCCAGGAGAGGGCTGTGGATTTTTCAGTTTCCTCTTCTGAGCCATCTTCCCATTGAAAGAAACCCTGGCTGCCAGAGCAGTCAGTCACACTTGGGACCATGATGCCTAAGCACTGCTTCCTGGGCCTCCTCATCCATTTCTTCCTGACTGGTATAGGAGGTAAGCGCCTTGTTATTTTTTAATGATTTCTAGCTTTGTTATTTGAGCTGATGTTAAAAATGGCAGTGGTACTTTTCTGGGTTTTGTCGAGTTTTCAGGTTTCTTAGGTCTCCAAAGGCTCAGAGCAGGCATGGGATTAGGTTCTGTCTGCAGTCTGCATAATTCTGCATGTCCTTGATGGGTACCTACTACAAAGGAGGCACTCCTGAGTGTGCAAGAAGCTTCATACAGGACAGTTGTCCACCCACTGCTCTCTGCAGAATTTTGCTTGCCTTCAAGGGACATTATAGCATCATGGTTACCAGTATCTAAACTTCAACCAGCTGTCAGCATCTGGGTTCTAACTCTGCCACTTACTAGCTAGGAAATCTGAGTGATTTACTTAACACTCCCATGCCTCAACTTGCTAACCTATAGAATGGGGATTGTGGGTCACTGTGAAGATAACTGAGTTAATACATGCCAAGTGATTAGAGCAGTGTCCCTCTGCAGTAGGGTGCTTAAGTACTTAGAGCCAGGCAGACAAGAACAGCAATTCAGGAGTGGGACATCAAGGGCAGATCTACCTGGAGGCAAGATAGGGAGACTGAGCAAGAAACTGAGAAAGGGGATTGGAGAGCTGGGCTGAACTCTGGGAGCCAAATTAATTCCAGGCAGACTCTGCATAACAGTGGTGGTTATGTACTGGCTCCTAGGAAGGCAGGTAAGTGGTCTTGGTGTGGGTCTGTCACCTCTGTCATCATAGCCTATTACTATCTGGGAAGGAGCTAAAGACAACATTTTTTCAACAGGTTTACTTTCTCTGCAACTTTGGGGAATAGGGTAGAAGGCTGTCAAATCTATTTTTATTTTTGTTTGTATTAATTTATTTTAGGAGAGAGAGAGAAAGAGAGAAGAGAGAGAGAGAGAAACTAACTCTCACCTACTGGTTTACTTCCCAAATACCCAGAAGCCAGGAACTCAACCCAAATGCTTGAGCCTTTACCTGCTACCTCTCAGAATGTGCCTTAGTAGTGCATACTTTTTTTTATAGCCTAACACACATTGTTCTGAAACTTGGCTCTGCATCATAGTCATTGAAGGTTCAACATGTTGAGTTTGAGGCTCCACCTCCACCACCTGCACTTAATAGTAGCTGCTGCAGGGACCCCTGATGCACTGATCACACTGAAAACTTCTGTTAACAATGGTGCCCATAGCAATGTTCAATATTTTCCCCTCTCTTACTATTTTAGGATCTCAGCCAGTCCATGGATCTCTGAAGCCTCAGAAGGTACAATTTAAGTCCAAAAATTTCCACAATGTTTTGCACTGGCAGCCTGGGAGGATGTGTGTTGGCAACAGCAATGTCTATTTCGTGCAACACAAAATGTAAGTAAATTGAGCTTCCTCCCCCAATAGAGAAGGCCACGGAGTAACACATCCTAGAGTGCAAGAGTGTTCAAATACGAGCACTTTCCCTTTTCAGAGAGGTTGAGAAGAAGCAGAGGCTGGGGTAGAAATGACTTGTTACCGGTGAAAGCTGTCCAGGAAGTCCAAATTGCAAGACTATTTGCAGTCAGTGGGGCCAATAGCTACCTCAGCCTAAAGAGACTTCCACTGAATTCTTAAAGGCCCAGCCTTTGGCGCTACAATAGTGCCTGGCACATGGTAGGCTCTCAACACAGCAGCTTCACTTACCCATGGTCTGAAAATGTTTAACAAAGATGTCCAGAAATCATGAAGTTGCATGCTGTTCTGAGTAGTATGGTGAAATCCCACATAGTCCTGCTCCTACCTGCCCAGGATGTGAGTCATCCCTCTGTCCAGAGCATTCACACTGTGTATGTTGCCACCTGCTCCACACTTAACAACAGTTTGGGTTATCAGCTTCATTGCTGCAATATTGCAGTGCTTATGTTCAAGTAATCCTCTCACAGTGTCTGACTGTATCACCACGGCTACACCTCACTTCATCACATCCCATATGCTTTGCCTCATCACACATTATCACAGGTGGAAAGAATTATGAGTACAGGGTGATTAGATATTTTGAGAGAACAAGAAAACACATTGGCAAGACTTTTATCACAGCATATGTTTATAATTATATTATTTTGTTATCAGTTATTGCCTAACTTAGAAACTTTCAGAGTTACAAATCTATAAGACAAAAACATAGCCTATGCCCAGGTCACAGACATCCATGGAAGACCTTAGACTATATCTCCCATGGATAAAAGGGCAACATTCTACTTGATTGTTGAATGAATGCTGGAAACAACTTGTTTGGCACAGAGCAATACTCAACTAAGATGAAAGCAGTGGCAAACATGGAAGGAGTATGCAAACATATTTTTAATTAGTTGTTGTTTAGAGTGGCTTTACTGATTTGAAAATGCTTTTCAAAACGGAATGAATACTGCAAGCTTGGACACAGACAAACATGCCACTGCTCAGTCCTCTCGTGCGATCTTCGGTTACTCCTGTTGGATGGGTGCAAAAACTCAGATAGGATCATATCCTTTCCTGGATCCCTGCCTGGAAACAGGCACTCCTAACTTGAAACTGGCAGGCTTTTCTACACATCACATACATTTCCTGGAGTGTTTTTTTTGTTTGTTTATTTTTTGGATATTCCTCTTCTGGCCTAGTTTGAGATACAGATGGAACATGAGATGGAAGACAATAGAGCTCAGCTTTTTTTTTTTTCTTTAAAAATTCCAAAACTCAGATGCAGATATGGGCCAAACTAGCAATTTTTTAAAATAAATGTGTGTCTTAATTACATTCTTTTTAAAATTATTTGTTTCCAAATTCTGCTTTAATTTGACACAATGGAACTGTGGCCATCATATAGATAACCTAATACAGGTATCATCAACATTCACCACTACACGGCTACAAAGTCAGACTCCAAGTCCATCAATAAGTACTCGGGGAAACCTTTCTCCCCAGCTTCCCGTTCCTGCTGTTTCCCAGGCAGCAATGTGCTCTGACTTGTGGAGCAGGTAAGGAAGTGAGGCCATCACTTTTCCCTTAGGCTGATACACCATCTCCTGATCTCAGGCTGACTCAACCTGCCTGCCTCTTCACCTAACCACCCTTCCTCTCGCCCAGCCCCTGGGCACAGGGCTCCCTTTAGAGCCCCCACTACAACTTCCACTCAGTTCTCGATGACGGAACTAACCCTGTGTGTTGGGTAAGCATAAGCTGGGAGGAAAAGTGGTAGCAGCTTCTCAGAATCAGCCAGATTACTCAACAGCAAGTCTGTGAGAAGTGGGGAAAAACCACAAGGAGCTGAACCCTCAGAAGCGCTAAGGACATGGAGAGTGAGAACTCAACAATGGAAGCTGATGAGCAGTAAAAAAAATTAAAACGCTTATGTGAGGGCTACAGGGGATGTCAGGGTTGAGCATATTTATCAGCAAGAGAGTGCTTGGGCTAACAGGAAGCAATGCTTTTAAAGATATTTAAGAATGGTCTAGGCTCTCCCAGTGGTGCTGATATGAGCATTAGAAGGTGGGTTTCCACCCAACTATTACAACTAAGAGAAGAAAGTCAAAAACCTAATAGGCTGGAGAAACAAAAAGTCAGCTCTTTGACTTTTCCCTTCTACAGGTATGGACAGAGTGAATGGAAAGACAAACAGGACTGCTGGGGCATCCGAGAACTCTTCTGTGACCTGACCAATGAGACTTCGCATCTACAGGAGCCTTATTACGGGAGAGTGCAGGCAGCCTGCCCTGGGAGCCACTCAGACTGGGGCATGTCACAGCGCTTCACGCCCTTGTGGGAAAGTGAGTGCCCTGGACATTCTCTGCTTTTCTCTTCCTGTCCTTGGCACCCTAGTGTGTCTGGGCACCCGGCTCTGTGCTTACTGAGATCCACCAGCAGCTCATTTGATGCCCTCAACAGCTCCAGGACTTAGCTTCTAATACCCTCATCTGGCATCCCAGGAGACCAAGGTGCAGGGGCCAGGTCTCTTGGTCAGCTTTGTGCAAATTAGGATTCAAATTCTGCTACATCTAACTGCAGGGCCTTCCCTCTACCATGTGGTCACACTGTAGCTTCTAAAAACAAGCATTTGTAGATAACAGAAAAGAAGCTGTGTTGCCCAATACCTCCCCAAATATGAGGGTTAAGTTCTCCAAAATACTCATGCTAGAAGAATTTTTCTTTTGAGGAAATTATAACTTCTAGTTAACCCCCTTCTAAAGGAGAGAACTGAAGTTCTCTCTCAATATCGATTTCTGAATAATGTTTATTCTTCTTCTGGTTTAGTCAGAATTGCAGAAAAATATAATCTAAGACATGAATTATAAAATTCACCATTACCAATAGACCTTGTATAAAAAAAGAGAAAAAAAGGTGCTTAAGGTATCCATGTAATGATATGAATAACAGAATAGAAAATAAATATAGGTGTTTATTGCAAGCTTCATAATTGCTACTAATCATGAAGCTGTAGTGAGTATCTGACCCTTCAGCCCCCATTATTAACTCAGTGTCCACTCTCCTTTCAGCCAGTACCTGAGCTCATCCATGAGGAATTTTGAGTCCTTTTGGCCTTTCCTGTGTCATCTTGACATAATCTTATACTAACTTTTCTTACTGAATATGGAAGTTGTAGGAAGTACACCACAGTACACAAAGCATCCTTCTACCTGACCCTTGTGGTACTTCTAACTCTGTTTCCCCTTGGTGGTCAGAACTCATCACCCCAGACAGAACAACTTCATTTTCTCTTTGTGGATTCAATGGATTGGGGAGCTCCAAATGGTGGAGAGGCATCTCCAACTTCCAATTCTTTGAAACGATTTTTGTTGCAGCACAGAAGAATTAAAGTTCAAGCAGTTAGAAAACAAAATATTTCAGGAGTTATTCCCTGAGTATGAATGGTGCTCCCCCTCACTTCCATTTCTTGTATACTAGACCAGCAAGTTCTGTGTATGCAAGAAATATCAACATACACTGTTCAAAGCCCTAGAACATATACCCAGTCACATACCATCCCACAACATGTTGCCTGTCAAACTGAGTTTTCAATTGTCCATTTCACCTTCTAATAAAGCCAGGGATTTTTCAGGGATGAGGTATTTGATACAGCTAAATACTCCTACAAGACCTTGCTTCATTTCTACCACATTAACTTAATTTAGTTGTTATATACAATGTACCATGGAGTACCATGTTCATGAATAAGGCACACACTCATCTGGGTACATGTATTTGAGAGGAATCTGTTAATGAAAATACTGAAGTAATGAAGAAAAAATTGATAGCCAGAAGAGTGTCTATTCTAGTGCTTTTGTCCCTTCCCTGTTGGAAAGGACCAAAAAACCCTGATGAGAGCCCCTGGAGGATGACACTTATCAGGGGTTCAGTCTTGGTCTTCCTTGCTGGGAAGCAATGTCAGCCCAGCCTTGGTAAGAGGAATTCGATATTGCTGAGTCTCCATATAGCCTCCATCCCTTTTACATGATGCTTTTGCTCATGAGTTCATACAGTTACTAGGGACTTGGGGAAAATGGACTGTCACTGCATCCACCTGGATTTTATAAATAGTTATATTGAAATAATTCACACACCTTACAGTTCATCCATAGCACATATAATTCAGTGGCTTCATGATATTCACCGATAGGTACACATATCACCCTGAGTCAATTTTAGAACATTCTTGTCACTTCAGAAAGAAACTCCAGACCCTTTGACTATCCTCTATCCTATCCCTTCATCACCCCAGATCCCCAGTCCTAAAGAACCAGTAATCTACATTCTGTTCAGACCCTTTGCCCCTTTTTTTTAAATTTAATTTGAGAGAAAGTAGATAGCTAGCTAGATAGATAAGCAGAAAAGGGGAGAGTGAAAGTGAGGACGAGAAGGTGGGGCTTTCCACAATGGCTGGGATTGGACTGGTCTAAAACCAGGAGCTGCAAGTTCAATCTAGGTCTTTGATGTAAGTGGCAGAAGGAAAATATTTTATCCACTGCCATTGCTTCCTAGGATTTGCAATACCAGGAAGCTAAAGTCAGGGCAAAGCCAGGCAATGAGACAAAGCATATAACCTGCATCTTAATCATTAGACCAAATGCCTGCTCCATGTCTGTTCTTTTCATTGAATTGTTTATCTTTGAATTTTTGAGGTGTATGAATTCCTTTTGTATTATGGATACCAGTGCCTTATCTTTAACTTGATTTTTAATTATTTTATCAGTTTCTGTGAGTTGTCTTTTCACTTTCTTGGTGAGATTATTTGAAGCACAAAAATTTTTCTTTTTAATGAAGTCCAGTCTATTTTGTTGTTGTTGTTTGTGCTTTTGGTGGCACATTCACATTTTCTTAGATTTATATTACATTTCCTTATAAGTGTTTTATAGTTTTAGCTCTTATGTTTAAGTTTTGGATCCATTGTGAGTTCATGTTTGTGTGTGGTGTGAAGTAGGGATTCCATGTCTTTTTTTTCCCCCTAACACGTGGCTATCTAGTTTTCCCAGTACCAAGACAATTCTGTGGTCATTGAGTGACTCAAAATCTTGTTGAAAATCAGTTGACCCTAGGAGAATGGTTTATCTCCAGACTCAATTTTATACACTGTATAATTTTATACAACGTACAATTGTGCCAGTAGCACACTCTCTTGATTACTATTATTTGTGGGAAGTTTTGAAAATGAGAGATATGGGTCCTACTTTCTTCTCCTTTTTTCAAGATTGTTTTGGCTCCTCTAGGTCCCTTGCTACTCCATACCCACTTAGATATTTTTTTAAGATTTATTTATTTACTTACTGGAAAGGCAGACTGACAGAAGAGGAAGAGACAGAGAGAGAGCTGTCTTCTATCCATTAGTTCACTCTCCAAATGCCTGCAACAGCCAAAGCCAAGCCAAGCAGAAGCCAGGAGCCAGGAACTCCACCCACATTTCCCATGTGGGTGGTAGGAACCCAAGTACTTGGACCATCAAGTGCTGCCTCCCAGCTGCATAGGCAGGGTAGCCAGCACACATACTGGCCCTCCAGCTTAACCTACTGTACCACAATGCCACCCCCACCTAGAATTCTTAAAAACTTCCTTCCAGTGGGTGCATTCAGATGGAAACAGAAATGTTCACATTCTGGATCTCAATACTCAGGAGTTCATCCATAAACCTCTTCTAACTGGCGCATGTCCAGTTAGAGACAAACTAATTGGATCATGCCCAAAATGCTAACCACAGTGGAACTCAGAAAACTCAGTTTGTGTTTTCTGGCTCTCCAGTTAGCAGAAGCTTGCATGACTAAGTTGATGGCCACCGTGAGGGGCAGTTGCAAGAGTGGTTTGATTATCATACTCCAGTCTGGAAATGGGATCAAGTTAAAAATTACTTATCATACAAAGCCTCCTCCTGTCAGCTCCATTAGGTCAGTCAGGTAAAAGTAGTCAAAGACATTGGTCACTTTGTTCTACACTGGAATGGTGAGAGTGGGATTTGGCCCAGCAGTTCAGAAGCCATTTAGAATATCCATGATACACATTGTAGTACCTGGGTTCAATCTCTGGCTCCAGCGTCTGATCCCAGCTTTCTGGGGGCAGTGGGAATGGCTCAACTAGTTTGGTTCCTGCCTCTCTTGGCAGCCACCTGGATTGAGTCTCTGGATCCTGGCTTCAGTCTGGTCCAGCCCCTGGCAAGTGAACCAACAGATGATAGTGTGCTCACTCGCTCTCCTCTCTCTGTTCCTCTGTGTCTCTGCCTCTGAAATAAATAAATTGATGACTTTTAAAAGTAAATTGGGGCCAGCGCCACGGCTCAATAGGCTAATCCTCCACCTGTGGTGCCAGCACACTGGGTTCTAGTCCCAGTTGGGGCGCCGGATTCTGTCCTGGTTGCTCCTCTTCCAGTCCAGCTCTCTGCTGTGGCCTGGGAATGCAGTGGAGGATGGCCCAAGTGCTTGGGCCCTGCACCCACATGGGAGACCAGGAGAAGCACCTGGCTCCTGGTTTCAGATCAGCGCGGTGCGCTGGCTGCAGCACTCCGGCCACAGCGGCCATTGGAGGGTGAACCAATGGTAAAGGAAGACCTTTCTCCCTGTCTCCCTTTCTCTCACTGTCCACTCTGCCTGTCAAAAAAAAAAAAAAAGAGAGAGAGAAAAAAAAAAGAAAAAGTAAATTGGTATAGTGTCAAGTTCAGAGGGGTTTGCATTTTTTTCTTTATGACTAGCTTCACTTTCAAAGAAAAGCCTTGGACAGTGTTGAAAATCTTTTTTATTCCAAGACCTTGTTGGTAGAAGAATAAGAAACCTCCTCTAAACAACAGTCAAAATTAGAGCTATTCTTGAAGCAACAGTTAGGAGTCCTGCCCATTCATCTGTCTCCTCACCCTCTAGCTTTGTCCTCTCCTCCAATCTCTCCTAAGGCTTTCTGAAAAGCCAGTTTTAAAAAATATGCTTCCAGGGTCTTAGGACAGCGTGTTCCCAGAGTTTGACACAAGCTAAGGAGCCAAGTTGGCTCCCCTGGGGCCTGTTTCTGAGCAGCAGGATGTTATGAAGTTCTGATTCCTGAAATCTATCAGGAAACAAAGCGAAGTTTAAAACAAAGCAAAACAGAACCCAAGTCACTTAACTTAAAAGAGCTCGATAAGATTTCAATATTATCTGACCTCAGAACTTCTTGGATTAAAAAATAATTGCAGGATTTCAGATAGGACTCATTTTATTTTCTTTTCTTTACTATTCCTTTATTTTCTTTTCTACTTTTTATTTATTTGTTTGAAAGAGAGACAAATAAAGAGAGAAAGAGCTCCTACTGTTGAGGGGCACACAGATTAAAACACCGTGAGATTTTTGAGGTCTTCTAGCCTCTGGTTCACTCCCCAAGTGGCTGGAGCTGCACTGATCAGAAGCCAGGAGCCTGGAGCTTCTTCCAGATCTCCCATGCAGGTGGCCCCCAAGTACTTGGGCCATCTTCTACTGCTTTCCCAGGTCTTTGCAGAGAGCTGTATCGGAAATGGAGCAGCCAGGACTTGAACTGGCGCCCATGTGGGATGCTAGCACTGCAGGCAGAGGCTTTACCCACTAAGGCACAGTGCTGGCCCCATTAATTCCATTTTTTCTATAAAAATTTTGAAGAACTCTTGTGCGGGGTGGGGGGAGGAGGAGACAGAGATAATACCTAATTTTGAAGAATTATAAGATAAGATATGAATCTACAAACTGAAAATTACAATGAATACCAGACAAGAAAACAACAATAAAATCCATACTTAGCAATACCGCAGTGATTATGGGAACAATTAAAGCAGCTATCAGGGCAAGTATTCACCCTAGTGGTTGAGAAAACTGTGTTCTGCATCAGAGCACCTAGGTTTGATTCCTGGTACCAGCTCATGACTCCAGCTTCCGGCTAACCCAGACCCTGGGAAGTGGTGGTGATGGCTCCTGTAATTGGGTTCCTGCCACCCATGTGGGGACCTCAATTGTTTTCCTAGCTCCTGACTCTAACAGAGGCCCATACCTGGCCATTGCAGGCATTTGGGGAGTAAATCAGCAGATCAGAGTGCTATCTCTGTCCCTCTCTCCCTTCTTCCACCTCTCTCTCTCTCTCTCTCTCCCTCCCTCTCTCTCTCCCTCTCTCTCTTTCTCTTTCTCTCTCTCTCTGTATGTTGTGTGTCCCCTTCTGTCTTTTAAATAAATTAAAAAAATGTAAAAAATTTAAGTGACTATATAACCCCATTTCCTAGTCAATAATGACTTGGTTATCAGAAACAAAATGCCTGAACCAGATTCTCAGTTTTGATTCTTCCAGTTGTTCATACTATATGACGTGATCCTGTTGAATTTATGTTATAGTGACATGTCTTCAAATGGGCTTAAAGCTGCTTTGGAATTTCACATCTTGAAGGCCTTTCTCTAAGATTTCCCCTGCAAATAACTTCATAAGTTTAATTTTCTAAAAGAATCCAGAGCACTGTGGAAGTGACTAATCAATGCCTTAAAGCTGAAGCAGAAAGCATCCATCCTCGGCAAACAGAAGTATCTTCGAAGAAACACCCCAGATATTTGGGCTGCCCCAGTCATCAGTGAATCTGCATCTTGATTTTTGCCAGATTTCTGAATTTAATCATGATGCATCATATGCATAATGTGCACAATAATACATTCATAAATAACCTGTCAAAATTTCCTATTCTTTCTCCAGCAAAAATTGATCCTCCAGTGGTGAATATAACCCAAGCTAATGGATCTGCACTGGTTATTCTCCAAGCTCCGGATTTCCCATATAGAGCCCAAACAGGAAGAAATGTATCAGTGGAAAATTACTATGAATTAGTATATCGTGTTTTTATAATTAACAGTTCACTGAAAAAGGTAAGTTCGGGTGGATGGATAAGAGGTATTTTTTCTTCTATTTATTTAACTAACATTGTCCTCTGTGTTGTTGCTTTGTCTCTTCTTATTTTTTCTTAGCTTTCTAAAATTCTTTCTCATGTTCTCCATCATTGATAAATAACTGCTTGCATCACCACCAGAATTGTATGTATGTGAATGTGTATATGTGTGAACATGGATATGTAAGTACGTGTGTGTTTTTATGGATGTATTTGTATTAATGTATGTACATGTATATCTGTAAGTAGTTCTAGGTGTATGTAGATGTATTAGTGTATTTGTGATGCGTGTATATGTGAGCATGTATTTGTGTATATGTATACGTAAGTATATACATATATATGTAGATGTTTGTGTAGGGGGTGACATTTGTGTGTATATGTGTATGTGTGCAGATGTGTGCAAGTATTTGTGTAAATGTATGTACACATGTAGATTTGTGTAAATGAATGTACATGTGTAGATGTGTGTATCTGTGTAGACGTGTATGTATGTGTGGATGTACTTGCGTATACATCTACAAGTATGTATGTGCATGTAGCAGCATGTGTATGTGTGTAGATGTGTGATTGCATTTGTGTATATGTGTATTTATGTAGATGTGTATATGCATGAATAGAAGTATGTGTGTTGTGTGTGAGTGTTGTCTGAGAATGTGCCCTTTAAGTCACTCAGCTTGTCTGCACTTGGTCTTCTCTGCATGTCTAAAGATTTGCTGTAACTATTGGATTGGGTTTAACTGATACAATATTCGTGTTATGAGTCACAGCGTTGAATATCTCGACCAGTTTTGCTATGACACCGTACTCTTGGGTCAGTTCCTTTGTCAGGGTTCCGTGGTTAATTGTACCTTTTTCCACGGCCTTCTAAGGCAGGGCTCTTTTGGTAGTGAGGAACAGAAACTCCTCCAAAGGCACTGAGATGCCAAAAAGGTGGGAAGGGAGAAAACAAGCAATCTCACCAGCAGCCAGGAGTAAAGCGCCACCCAACTATGCAGTGACCAGGAAGGGGAAGTGGGAGTGAGATAGAGCTAAGGGCTCCTGCTCTCTCTCTCTCCCTCTCTCACCCACTTGCTGCCTCTTGGGCCACATGGTTCACATCTACAGTTATTTTGGCAAATCTACTCCTTTCTCCTCTCGTGAAAGAGGCTGTGTCAATCAGCAGCCATGAGGGAGAAGTCAGGTTGTACCTGCACGTTCACCTGAGCCCTCCTGCACCAGGCCAGGAACCTGGGGATGGAGGCTGTGACTGGGCAGGAAACCACCTCCCATCTGCTACTGTGACCACCTACACTTACACATTCTACCACAAACAGAGCAAATCGATAGCTCACTGGAAACATTTATCATCTGATTTCTTTTCTTTGTAGGAACGAAAGATTTATGAAGGGGCTCAAAGAGTCGTTGAAATCTCAGATGTCCCGCTGCACTCTGGTTACTGTGTAGTGGCTGAAATCTATCAGCCCATGTTAAACAGAAAAAGTCAGAGAAGTGGAGAGAGATGTGTGGGCGTTTTGTGAAGTGTGGAGCGCTCTGCCACGTGCGAATCACCAGCTCTCTGAAAACCGCACTGCTTGTGTTCAAAGGATCTTAGGCTATTCTTACCTTTTCTTAAAGCAGTATTCACTATTTTGCTTGAGGGCCTTCTGTGTTTATCCATTTTTTTTTTAATATTTCATTTGAACAATGCGCCGACAGGGTTCTATGACATACAGATTTTCATTTGTGAATGTAACATCCCTAAAAGCAATCTCCATTCTTCTAAGATAACCAACTAAAAATTTCAGAACCAAGGAATAGTTGGCATTAATAAAATGTTAAAAAATATTTTTAAAAAGTACCATGAGAGACTACCGTAGTCTTAAGCCAAATATTTTCCATGCATTTCTATTTACAAATACATTTTTATATCTATAGTGAAATATTTCCACTTAATGCACCAAAATTTTGATTTAAATTCTGTTGTATGCAAATAAGTACACTATGTGAAAAAAATTTTCTTATGATCTCTGGATTAATATCTAGATTAAGATTATCAACAACCACATGTAACTATCAAAGGAAACCTATCCAAAATAATTTCCCTTCATTTCATTGTTTTTGGTTTTGTCTTGCTTTTAATGTTGTCTTAGAAGAATTCCTTTATATTCTCAAAATTGAGTATAATGTTTTTCAGCAACAAAAAAGCCATCACTCCAAGTCCGTGGCACAAATATTATTCAAACATCTTGGCAAAGGATCTCTCGCAGGTAGCACCCTCATAATCTCCTTATAGGAAAGGGACCACAGAGTATGGGTACTTTGGGAGGTTTCTTGGCTCCTCAAAGCTCTCTGGATGACTTCTGTCTCTTATCAATAAAGACTGGTGTCCCAAGGCTCAGTGTCATCAACAGAGAGCTGCCTTCTTCACTCAGGCTTAGTCCATAGATGTTTACTGTTGTCTTTCTCAGGAGGACATAACTATGGGATAACATTTGTGGTGTGCAATTTATCATGAAAATCACTCCAAAATATGAGAACAATATAGTTTTATGTCTGGTTATATCTACTTGTATTAATAAATGGATTAAAAATTATCCAGAAATGTATGAGGAAACAGAATAAGGGACAGAACAAGAAGTAGAGAATTGCTTTCCTGTATGGTCAGAAAACCTTGATTTGGATGTAAACCTAGAGAGTGAAAAAAAATTAGCACTTATCTTGGTTTTGAATTACTGTCATTTTTAATTTTTATTTTTGCTCATTCCTTTTTTGTCTTTAGTCCTTTTAGGGGTAAGAGGGTGAATTAAGAGCACTGATCAGGGGAGGGGAGGGATTAGATGTGGCCAACATTTAAGTATATGAAATTCAGTATGAAGTCTGATTTTTTTAGTGTAGTTGTTTCATAATCATTATTAGTATCATGTTTTATTTTGTGTGATTTTGGGGGTTTTTCTCTTATGCTTGGGCAAATGTAGGCATGCTCACCTAATGAAATACTTTGAGAAAAATTATAATTGCCACATTCTTGATTGTGTTATAAAATATTGTCATACATTTCAATAAACCCTTTAAGGTTTTTGCTTTGCATTCTGAAATTCTTGTTATTTGGACTTTCAAAAGAAGATGACAGTGTTTAAGTCTGTCAGGTGAAATCAGGATCAGCCTGGCCCTTTGCAAACTCCAGTCAGGAAGAGACAGACAGCATTGAGCAGGACATCAGACTCCTTGAGTGTGTCCTAGAGCTGAATGCAGTTCCACCCTCAAAACTGCCTAGGCCTGAAGCATTGGGGCTGTAATTGGCTCCTCCCCTCCTCTCACATCCTATAGCCAATCCATCAATCAATTCTATAGGTTCTACCTCCAGAACACAGCCCCTCTCACAACTGCCTTATCCTAGGATGCTATCATTTCTTATCTGGGGGTGCCTCCAGTCACCTCTCTGGGCTCCATCTTGGCTACCTCCCTCTGGTCTACATTCAACATGGTAGCCAGGGTGGGCCTTGAAGCATGAATGAGATCTTGTCACTCTTCTACTCTAAGACCACCAAGGGCTTCCCACTCCATAAGTGTAAAAACCCAAAATCCTCATAATGAACTCCGAGACTCTGTGTGACCTGATTGTTCTTATCATTTCCCAGATCTCATTTCCTAATTCCCACCTGGCTCACTCTGTTCCAGTGTACGGACTCCATGACTTGCCCTCAGATCCAAATGCCCTGCCCTCTAGTCCTTTGTACCAGCCATTTCCTATGAGGCAGAATCCATATCCATGGGTTCACTCTCTTGCCTGAGTCAGGACTTTGCTGGAAGGATGCCTTAGTGGCAAGAATTCCTTCACCATTTGATTTACAATTGCAACTTATACCCTGCAACTTGCTCTATCCCTCACTTTTCTTCATAACACTTAAATTACCCAACATGCTATATAGTTTACTTATTGATAGTATTATCTCCCCTACTCCACCAGAATACAAAGACAAGGTTGGTTGGTTGGTAGGTTTTACTGGACTTATCTCCATTACCAAGAACAGAAATGGTACAAGGTAGACACTCAATATTTGTTGACTATTTCTGGAGATTCAAAGGCGTGATGCTGGCATTAGCTTGGCTCCGGTGATGACTTCCTGGTGGATGGCATCACTACAGTGTGAGTGTAGAAGGGAGAAAGGTCACACAGCCAGACAGGAAGCTTGTGAGGATCCCTTCCATGGGCACTTTCCCAATGACCTAAGCACCTGCCACTAGGCTCCACGACTTAGTTTCCAGCACCTCAACACCACCACACTAAGGACCAAGATTCTAGCACATGAACCCTAAAGAGGTAAACCACAAGTAAACTATAACAGAACTTATGAGTATTTCTACTTTATATAGGTAAGCTTCAGACAGTTTAAGTGATTTTCCAGGGTCTGAAAAATCCATCTAATTCTTTTATTTATTTATTTATTTTTATTTTATTTTTTTTTATTTATTTGACAGAGTTAGACAGTGAGAGAGAGAGACAGAGAAAAGTCTTCCTTTCGTTGGTTCACCCCCAAAATGGCCACTACGGCCGGAACTACGCTGATCCAAAGCCAGGAGCCAGGTACTTCTTCCTGGTCTCCCACGCGGGTGCAAGTGCCCAAGCACTTGGGCCATCCTCCACTGCCTTCCCAGGCCACAGCAGAGAGCTGGACTGGAAGAGGAGCAAATGGGACTAGAACCCGGCGCCCATATGGGATGCCAGCACCGCAGGCGGAGGATTAACCAAGTGAGCCACGATGCCGGCCCCTCTCTTTTTCATCTGTAAAAGATTGACCAGGTACCAAATGTGCTGCTCCCAGTAAAATTGCTTCCAGACGACACTTTGCAGGAAAAGGGCCCTTCTACCTGTCCCGGGAACCGTGCCATGTCCAAGGCCAGTGGTCCTGGAAGTAGGTCTGTTTAATCTCTTACAACCTCAGGAGGCAGGAGCTGGGTGAGAAGAGGCAAGTGGTAGCTAGCAGTGCCCTCTGCAGCCCTACTTGTCTTGTCACACCTGTACCTCATTCCAGCCACTGACCCCACACTCTCAGATGACAGACTGATAGCCCTGCTCACCACTTTCCTGGTCCTCTTCATAATCTTATCACAGGGTCTCCACACCTCCCTCCCACACACGCATGGGGGTGATCACCTGGTGAGCATTATCTCAGGTAGATCCATCAGAGCTGTCTTCAAATACTAATATCAGTCTGGACAAAGAAAGCCTCTTCTCTCCTCTGGAATCATGGACTGTAAGGATGAGCCAGGCCAATTTCCCAGCAGATGGAGAAAACCGTACTTGGGTTTAGGTGGCATTTGTACCTCACAGGTTCATATGTCAGAAACTTGGTCCTCACGGTGGTGATATGGGGAGGTGGGCCTTTTAAGAGGTGGGGACTCCTAAGAGATCCTTAAGTTAATTCAAGGTGCGATTTTGGAGTGTTATGGCTTCCTGATTAGTGATGTGATCTCTTCCTCACACACACTCCTCCCATGATGTGATAGAGTCAAGAGGGCCCTTGCCAGGCCTGAGCCAACACCAAGAACATTGCTGGAAAGTGTATGTTTCTTAGGTGATTTGATGAACACAGAGTGAGCATGGGAAAGTCCTGTAGAAATCTGGATGTTATCCAGGTCAGAATTTAATCAGAAATTATGTGAGCCAAGGGCCTGTGTTTTCAGCAAATTCTCATCTTGGTAATTAGCAGTTCAATTAGCAGTTTCCATAGCATTAAATACAGTGGATTTTATTTCTATTTCTTTCATAAAAGAAATAAAAGTTCCATGTGATATTCTTCAGAGAATATAGCTGTTAAGAATTCTATAACCAGAGAATCCTTTTGCTCTGTCAAAATTCACTTACGTAGAATGTTCCAAGTTCAAACCTTATGGCATCATAAGGTGTAGCTAGTGCAGTGCCAGTGCACAAAACACTGCTTATACTCCATCTGCAATGTCCTCATTTTCTTTCTATGTCTGTCTGTCTCTCTCTCTCTCTCTCTCTCTCCCTCTCTCTCTCTCTCTTTCTCTCTCTCTCTCTCTCTCTCTCACACACACACACACACACACACACACACCACAGCATCTGCCAATGTAGGCTCCTGGCATGCTATCTCTGCTGTTTTGAGAATGGATTTCTTTGGGGCCAGTGCTGTAGCATAGTGGGTAAAAGCCACCGCCTGTGGTGCCAGCATCCCATATGGGTGCTGGTTCGAGACCCAGCTGCTCCACTTTCAATTCATCTCTCTGCTATGGCCTGGGAAAGCAGTAGAAGATGGCCCAAGTCCTTGGACCCCTGCACCCATGTGGAAGACCCAGAAGAAGCTCCTGGCTCTTGGCTTTGGATAGGCGCAGCTCTGGCTGTTGTGGCCATCTGGGGAGTGAACCAGCGAATGGAAGATCTCCCTCTCTCTCTCTCTGCCTCTCCTCTCTCTGTGTAACTCTGATTTTCAAGCAAAATAAATAAATCTTAAAAAAAAGAGAGAGAATGGTTTTCTTTGACAAAGACATAGCTCTCCTTCTCACTGTGGAGTTCTAAAGGAGATTGTTTCTTTCCATGGCTCTTTAATCTAAATGCCCACTAAGAGCAGGCTTTCTTTCTTGCCTAAAGTCCACGCAATACCTGACTCCCCTCCATATTATGGTGGAGAACAATATTTTGTATTACTTAAAATTAATCTATTATTTTTTGTTTCTTCTCAAAATAATCCCAGTCCACAAACGCAGGCCATCAGTGATTTTGTAACAATGGCTGGAATGAAGCTGTGGAGGCAAGGTGCTGACAAGCAGTCAAGTTCTGCACAAGCAAGATCTATTGACATTAATAAGAGAGCATTCTGCTAGAATAAGTCCATTATTAAAAGTGATGAATCTGGGGCAGCATCGCGGCAGAGCACATAAAGCTGTCGCCCGATGCCAGCATCCTGTAGGTGTGCTTGTTTGTGTCCCAGCTGCTCCACTTTTCATCCAGCTTCCTGTTAATGATCTGGGAAAAGGTAACAGACGTGTTTGTTTGGGGCCCTACCACGCACGCAGGAGACCCCAATAAAGCTTCTGCCTCTTGGCTTCAATCTCACCCATGCCTGGGGGTTGCAATCATCTGGGGAGTGAACCAGCAGATGCAAGATTTCTGTCTGTCTCTGTCTCTGCCTCACTCTCTGTAACTCTTACTTTCAAAATAAATAAATCTTTTTTAAAAAAAGTAATAAATGTAATAAATCTCATTTTTAAGGAAAAAGTCATTGAAGTCTCTACTTACACTTTTCATAAACCCCTAAAAGCAAAATGGAAGGAAAAGAATTAATCAGACCCTAAGATTTGAACTTAATCTAGCAACTTCATTCTGAATGTTTACACATTCCTTTGCTTTCCTGCAACTGAATGAGTGAAGAAAAACAATAAACATAATAGAGAATCTGCTCCCAGGACTTCCCTTTCAGGCACAGTGGCTAGAGCAGTGTGGGCCTACTTTGAGTATTGATTGACAATTTGAACTGCTTCGTCCATGCCCATAGTTGCTATTCTTCTAAGATGCTTCAGATTAGAACCTCCTCCTTCTCTTTGAGGAATCCCCTTGTACATGAAAGAGTAGGAAGATGCTCTCTCTCCCAACCTCCCTTTCAACCAAGGGACAAATATCTACCAAATATCCTGGCTCTGACTTTGAATTGGAAGTTAGGGTCCAAGTGAGCAATCCTGGGCAGAATTCATCCTGGGTAGGGGTGGGAAAGTGGCATGGAGACAGTGGTAGCTGCAATTTTAGTGGCAGAACTGGCTGTCTAGTGTTGGAACACTAAGGAGTCTTAGCCACATGGACGTGCACAGTCATGGCAGTGGTCTTCAATGGACACCTGGTGACACAACAGGGACATTGTTCCTGATTGTGTAACTTCCCTATGGTGGCTTTGTCTGCCCCCACAACCCCTACAAATCTTGTAAGCTACCACAAATCCATTTTATCTTTTCAAATTGAATTATAACTCACATGGAGTAACAGCGCACATCTTTACAGTATAGGTCAACAATAACTGCCTGAAAAAAGAGAGCTTGTTTATAGACCCCATTCAGTATTCCCCCAGGTAACAATTCAGAGTTGTTTTTTTTTGTTTGTTTGTTTGTTTGTTTGTTTTTTTGACAGGCAGAGTGGACAGTGAGAGAGAGAGACAGAGAGAAAGGTCTTCCTTTGCCGTTGGTTCGCCCCCCAATGGCTGCCACGGCCGACGCACTGCAGCCGGCGCACCGCGCTGATCCAAAGGCAGGAGCCAGGTACTTCTCCTGGTCTCCCATGGGGTGCAGGGCCCAAGCACTTGGGCCATCCTCCACTGCACTCCTGGGCCACAGCAGAGAGCTGGCCTGGAAGAGGGGCAACCGGGACAGAATCCGGCGCCCCGACCGGGACTAGAACCCTGTGTGCGGGCGCCGCAAGGCGGAGGATTAGCCTAGTGAGCCGTGGCACTGGCCCAGAGTTCTATCTTAGAGACAAGATTTTCTTGACTTTAAACTTTATGTAAGTGGAATGACACAGTGTGTAGTGTTCTGCACCTGGCTTCTTCCACTCAACAGTATGTAAAATATATTGTAACAACAATTATATATAACTTATATAGTAACAACAATTCACTTTTTAAATTCCTGTGTAAATTTTTAAAAAAAATATTTTATTTATTCATTTATTTAAAAGGCAGAGTTACAGAGAGGCAGAGGCAGAGGCAGAGAGAGAGAGAGAGAGAGAGAGAGATCTTCCATCTGCTGATTCATTCCCCAGATAGCCACAATGACCAA